CTTCTCTTTTTTTTGTTTAGTAGTAAAAATCTTCCCTTAACCATAGATCTGACAGGTAACTTTTTCCATGCTCCCCTAATTTACTTATGATATCATCCTATATGTCTAAATTATTGATCAATTTTGACTTTATTTTGATATACTGTGTGAGGTATTGGTCTATACTTAGTTTCTGCTAAACTACTTTCTAGTTTTTCCGGTAATTTTTGTCAGACAGCGAGTTCTTGTCCCAAAAGCTTGGATCTTTGCATTTGTCAAACACTAGATTACTATGGCCATTTACTACTGTGTATTGTGTACCTAATCTATCCCACTGATCCACCACTCTTATTTCTTAGCCAATACCAGATTGCCCTGAACATGGTATGAAATCTAGTACTGCTAGGCTACCTTTCTTCACATTTTTTTCCCTTGATGTTCTTGACCTTTTGTTCTTCCGGATGAATTTTGTTATTTTTTTCTAGCTCTATAAAACAATTCTTTCAGTTTGATTGGTGTGGCACTGAAGAAGTAAATTAACTTAAAATATTACCATTTTTATTATATTGGCTCACCATTTATGAGCAATTAATATTCTTCAGTTGTTTAGATATATCTTTATTTGTGTTAAAAGTGTTTGTAATTGTGTCCATATTGTCCCTAGGTTTGTCTTGGTAGGTAGACTCCCAAAGTAGATAGACTTTATATTGTTTGCAGTTATTTTAAATTGAATTTCTCTTTCTGTCTCTTCCTGCTAGGTTTTTTTGGTAGTGTATAGAAATGATGATGATTTATGTGGGTTTGTTTTCTATCCTGCAACTTTGCTACAGCTGTTGATTGTTTCAATTTGTTTTTCAGTTGATTCTCTAGGGTTCTGTAAGTATACCATCACATCATTTGCAAAGAATGATAGTTTTTATTGACTGTTTTTATTCCTGTGATTTCATTTTCTTGTCTTATTACTATAGCTAGCATTTCTAGTACAATATTGAATAACAGTGGTGATAATGGGCATCTTTGCTTCCCTCCTGATCTTATTTGGAAGGCTTTTAGTTTATCCCCATTACAGATAATGCTTGCTGATGGTTTTAGATATATACTACTTATCATTTTAAGAAAGACTCCATTTATTCCCATGCTTTCTAGTTTCTGCTGACCCTAGCCCCTGTCAGCTAGCTGGAAAGGTCTGCAAGTTCAGAGTAACAGAACTGAAGCCTCCCCTCCTTTGTTCTCTCTACCTTGGTCATTCAAAGACAGGTCTCAGACCAGCCTGAGCATTAGCTCTGTGACCCTTGAGTGTCAGTGCACACAGATGCTGCTCGTCCTGAACCTTGCCCAGTACACAACTTCAGGTCAGGTGTGAGCCAGATGTATGACTGCTCCTTACCCTGGCCAACAGCTGCAGGTGAGCCCCATGCTTTGAAGCAAGTCCCTTCCTGAGTCCACTCTGGATCTGCAGCCCAGCTGTGGAGTTTGAGTGATAAAGCTCCTGGCTTCCTTCTGTTCCTGCTCCCTGCTAGGAGTTCTTTCCATTGGATCTCGTTGAGAAGGTCCATACTGTTAGTAACAGAAGACCTTTTCATGAATCCAGGCGCACAGCCTTCTTTCCTTTAAGAGCCCTGCTTTGGGCAGAGCTGAGAGAGTGGGTAAATGAGTGATCTTGTTATTGAGCAATGTGGCCCTGGAATTTCTGAGATGAGGCATGCCTGTGAGAATAGGGATGGGCTCAGAAGGTTTTGTCAGAGAAGGAGATGTTAACAGAGGGTTATCATTGCCCAAACAACTTAGTGTTTTCTATGTTCCAGACCTCAGGCTGTTTGCATTATTTCCTGTTGCATTAGATTTACCCAGGGCTGCATGCAATATAAGGAAACAATGATGCATGACAAAAGCTAGCTAGGATGGGGGCAGCTAGGTGGTGCAGTGGATAGAGCACCAGCCCTAAAGTCAGGAGGACCTGAATTCAAATCCGGCCTCAAACCAAACACCTGATACTTACTAGCTGTGTGACCTTGGGTAAGTCACTTAACCCCCAATTGCCTACAAAAAAAAAAAAACAAAAACAAACTAGCTAGGAGGACCAGACCTCCCAGCTCTACATTGCTCTGACACTGGCTTCTTTTTTCTCCTGTTAGCATAGTACAGGAGACAGTCCATGTCATCTCGTGATATATAATATGGACAAGTGGATATATGACATCATATAGGAAATGAGTAGTTAATCTATATTTTCTTCTACATGATAATCTACTTTAGTGTGAAAAGATTAAAGGTTTTAATCAGAACTTAGAAACCTGTAATGAAATGCCTTAAGCTGTTTAAGTGTAAGGCGTGGAATAGGAGTCACTTAGTGGATTAGTTATATGTGGTGGGCTACTTCAGTCTGTATTTGTCACTGTGCTAAAAACGAAACAACACTGGAATACCAGTCCAGAAGCTCTGAGTCTTCCCTGCTTTTATCTATTGCTCAAAGGCAGCTTTAGAAGGGAAAAAGGGCTGTTGGCAAAAATTGCTCCCTTTCTGCTCTCCCGTTTCCTCCCTCATCAGTCTTGCCTCCTCGAGTGTATCAACTTACTTAGGGAATAATTCAAAAGTGGGAAATGTTCCACTGAAGTTTGGGTGGTATTAACAGACTCTTTTATATGCATAGTCAATTAATAGCCATTAACCTCTAGCTCTTTGGAAGAGGGCATAATAATGTGTCAGGAGCACAGCATGCAAATCTCAGAACTGCTAACAAGTAGCAAAAACAAACTGCTGTGGCCTCTTCCTCTAGCTCTGTACACACTGTGTTGAGCGTGTGGCAAAACAAACAAACAACAAAAAAAAACAATGAAAAGGCAAAAAATGGGAAGCATTGCTTCTATAATTTTCAAATAACTTGCAGCTGATGATGGCTTTGTTTCCTTGTACCAAGTAGCACTCTGTGCTAGGTAAGTAGAGAATGACTAAGTCATGCAGATGGAGGGATAGGCTAACCACTCAAGCACGGGGATATTATAGGAAATCATCATCAAAGGGGAGATGTAGCAAAGTACAAGGAGCCATTGCGGGACAGTGCCACAGTGATTTTATTGACAGTGCCAGCCTTTTACCTGTTCTCTGTTCAGAGCACTTTGACAGACAGTTGTTGAATAATTATAATTAGCTTAGTATCTAAATTCTGTATTTTGAGTGGTTTGGGTTTTTCACCAATTTGGTTGTATTGAAACAGATTGCTCAGTTTAATCTATTGACTGAGCAGACATAGTATCTCATTTTTGTCTTTGTGGGAACATTAATTCTCCATTCACTTTGAAATGACAAGGTAATAGCTTTTCACAGAAATGATATTAAGCGCTTGAGGAGAGACCAAATGAAGTCATGTTAATACAAGACAACAGTCAACCTTAGAGAGTTATATAAAAAGGAAGTCACATCCATAACAGCTTAAAAAGAAACCTGATTATGATAATGAAGGAGCAGCCACACCATGAAGAGAGATTGAGGAATGGAGAAACCTCATCAAAGGGATATTTATTGTCATTTGTTTTGCCTTTTTTAATGTCCTGTTTTTCCTTTTTAAAAACTTCATTGGTATATTTTATATCACCTTCATTTGTGAATACACCTCTTCCCTGCCTCTAGCCAGCCATTCCTTATAACAAAATGTATGATTAAAAAAAAGAGGAAAAGAATTTTAGCTAAACAAAAACATATACCAACCAAGTCTGAGAGTGTATACAGTGTTCAACACCTGCAAAGAGGTAAGGAATATGGATTTTCTAATCTCTGCAGTTTATAGCCAGGCTTGAACATTCACAGTATAATTTTAAAAATTATTTGTCCCTCTTTTCTGTAACATATATTAGATGGTGACAAAAAGGTGGTATGAATAAATACTTCAATCTGCTGGTACGTGTTATGGAATAATGCCTAAATAACAATATTTTAGAAATAAAATGCAATAAGTAAAATCACTATAACATAAAACTATTTGGTAAAACCACTGACCTGTTTTCTGTACATGAGGACTATCCATTTCTCACCTCTGTACTTTTGTACAACTGGGTTTCCATGCCTGGAATGTGCCTCCTCCTTATTACTGCCTCTTGAAATTCCTTGTTCTTTTCAGAGATTAACAGTATACTCTTAAGAAACTTTAAAGTGTTTAATTTTTTTTCTCCTCTGGGGTTTCAGAGGGTAAACATGTGCTTACCATTTTCCCATTAGTTTGCTATGCCAAGTAATGCACAATGTCAACAAGGCCTTTGGAAGAGGATTTCTTAGCTGATGCTACACATCCATTACAAAAAAAAAATAAGGATTCTTCTGATCACCCCAATTACATATAGAGGAAAGGGAATGAAAATCTGCTTATTACACATATAATTCATGCTTCCTACTTCTAGGACATGCGTGATAACATGTGGTAGCTACATCCTACAGATTACCCTGTAGAAATGTTTAACTTTGGTTAAGGCATTTAAGAGGCAACATGATATAGCACAGAGGTGTCAAACCCCCCAAATTCCTCAGTGAGATGGGAACCAGATTAAAATGTAATTTAAAATATTTAATATAATTTAAAATAAATTTAAAATGAATAAAAATACAATAGAACATAGACAATGTTAATATGTGGTTTTCTAAGTCAATATGCTTCCTGTAGGGATCCATATGGCTCTCATTTCTATTTGAGTTTGACACCCCTAGCGTAGTGGATAGAGAACTAGGCTTTGAGTCAGGAAGACCTAAGTTCAAGGTCCATCTCTGCCTCATACTGGCTGAGAGACCTTGGCCAATTCACTCAACCTCTCAATCCTCTACTAAACTCTCCAAGGTTATTAGTAGTAAAATGGATGCAGCTCTGCTTACTCAGAAGTACCTCATTGGGAGTTCCCTTCAGTGGATAAAAACCATCGTTTTAGTCAAAAAATTAAAAAATCGAAAGGATCCAAGTTAAGCACAGGTTGAAGGTTTGTGAAAGCCATACTTTGCAGCTGAAAAGAATTTTTCATTTTTATGTGTTCCCCTAATAGACTGGAAACCGAGGGACGGTTCGAGATTACCCAGGCTTTAACCCATCGGCAGATGCTGACGCTATCCGGAAGGCTATCCGTGGAATTGGTGGGCAGTGTTCCACATTTCATATTTATTACCTTTGTCAATATTAAAGAGGGCAGAGGTGTCTGTATAGGCGCGTTTGCCAAGGTTATTTTCTGTATTAGACAGATAAAGATGACCTTTATTTTCCTCCTATTGATCACTTAGATTCTTATGCTGTGAAAGGACATGCCCTTTTTAGCTCAAGGCAAGCATGACTTTCCCAGTTGTACGCATGGAGCAAAAAAAAGATGTGGTGCGCATTTAGTGTTAGAGTCGGAGATGAAGCTAGCCTGATTAGAACTGGAAGTGCCCAAGTTTCTGCATTATTTATAATCCATTGATCATTATCAGTGTTTTCAAGATAGACATTTAGCAAGCTGGAGTTGAAGCTTCGGACAATTATTTTTCTTCATAAAATTAGGAACCGATGAGAAAACTCTTATCCACATTCTGACAGCAAGATCTCACGCACAGAGGCAGTTGATTGCTAAGGAATATCGTGCAGCATCTGGAAAGGTAAGACTTAATTTATGGAAGTGAGTCAAAAGATAATGACATATGCCGTATGGAAGGTAATGAATGAATGTGCCTATAAAACTTTGCATCTCAAGTTGGATATGAAGTGGAAACAGCGCTGGGCCCAGAAATGGGAGGCTTTCCCTGATTCCGTCATTACCAACTATGAGATATTTAGCAAATCATTTAACCTTTAGTGTACTCTTTGAATAAAAAAAAATACGAGAGATGGCTCTAGAATCGTCTGTGGAATTGTATGTAAAAATAATCTCAACTGACACACATTTTTCAAAAAGATAATACACATATAAATAAGTAAAAGTGTCATATATTGATGCCTAGGGGTGCTGGGGTAGAGCATTGGCATATTTTATTTTTATGAGGTTCTGTTGGTATTTTGTTCCTTGTGAGTTCTTGTAGTCGTGTGTCACAGTGACTTCTGTTTTGTAGAATTTAATTTAAGTTTTATCAATATTTTTCACTTTTATATCAGATTCAATTCTGAATAGACCTCCTCTCCCAGCCCACTCAATAAGCATTCCTTTAAAAACAAACAAAAAACCCCACTACAGTATAGCAAATCCAATTAACGTATTAGTGCTGTCTGTCTTATCTACATTTATAACATTCCACACTCATCAGTCCTCAGTTCTTCAACTAAAGCAGGGAGGAGCATTTTCTCATTTCCTCTCTAGGGGCCAAGCTTGGTGATCTTTTGTTGTTCAGGCATGTCTGACTCTTGGTGACCCCATGGACCATAGCACGCTCATTATTGGGATAATTTCAGCATCCTGTAAGATCTCATGAGCCTTGGGACTCCACCTCATCACCATCCTCTGCCTCTGTGGTTGGAGAATGGAGCTATGAATTCCAAACCTCCATTTAAGGAGAGAGTGCAGCTCAGATATGTCCCTGTTTCTCACCTGGCTGCACTACCTTGGGACTTTTCTGACTGGCTTCTTTATCATGCCTCTGAATTGGGTACCTCTTCCCACACTTTCCAGCTTCCTTTTATATGTTTTCATCCCCTATTAGGTCATGGACTCCTTTTGGATAGGGATTTCCTTCCTCGTTTCCTTTTTCCCTTTCTTCATTCCTTTACTTCTTCCCTCCCTTCCTTCCTCCTTCTTTCCCTCCCTCCCTCTACCCCTTCTTCTTTCTTTCTTTCTTTCTTTCTTTCTTTCTTTCTTTCTTTCTTTCTTTCTTTCTTTCTTTCTCTTTCTTTCTTTCTTTCTTTCTTTCTTTCTTTCTTTCTTTCTTTCTTTCTTTCTTTCTTTCTTTCTTTCTTTCTTTCTTTCTTTCTTTCCCAACCCCAGTACATAGCACACTGCCCGGCACATGATAGATGCTTAATACATGTTTATTGACTATTTTTTGCTGTAACATGCAAATAGATTTGAGCTAGAACAACAGTAAGACATGATGGCAGCATTATTGTTCTCCACCCACCTGACCCACTTTCCACTTTCCTATTTGTACGTCATAAGAAGAGCCTGATTGCTTTGGTGTTGTGTTTTTAACCATCAAAAACAACTTAGTCCTTGCAAATGCAACCTATATCAAATTGCTTGCCATCTCAGGGAGGGGGAAGGGAGGAGGGGAGAAAGGGAAGGAAGGAGAGAATATGGAATTCAAGATGTTAAAAAAATGTTAAAAAAATTTTTACATTAATTGGAAAAAATATTTTAAAAAATCCAATCTTAGTCTTTCTATATGAAGTAGACCCTTAGTAAAACCAAATCCTTTCTAATGTAGGAGGGCTGTTAAGCAGAGTTCTCTCTCTTCAGAGATTTTTTTCCTGAGCTCAGTCTGAGGGTAGATCAAGGAGGGAATCCTCAAATGTTAGGCAGCAGTAACCGAACACTGACAAGTGAGATGGGTGTGTGGGTGGGTGAAGGGTGTGCCATCCCGGGCAGAGAATATCGCCCTTCTCCTCTGGGCCTGCCCATGAGAGGAATGTCCAGCTCTTAAAATGTTTTACTTTGGGGGATTTGTCTTAGGATCTGAAAGATGACTTGAAGAGTGATCTCTCGGGCAACTTTGAATATCTGATGGTGGCCCTTGTTACCCCACCAGCCATATTTGATGCGAAGCAGTTAAAGAAAGCCATGAAGGTAGGATTCCATTGGAAGTTTTATCAATTATATGTGTCTGCCTGTAATCTGAATGACCTCGGGAAGTAACCCTATGAAAAAATAATCTACAACTTTAACCATTGAAAAAATGCCCTGCTAGTAAAATGTGGATTCCTTAGAGGTGCGCTCTGCTTTCAGCTTGTGTCTTCAAGCCTTATTGTTGTTTGTCCTTCATTCTAGAAGAGGACCATGACATCAAGCAGATGATGCCATGACATGCAAGTGAATTGGATTTAAGTGAGAGAGGCTGTGCGAAGTCACCAGCCCCTCTTTCTCCTGTGGAGCCATCTGGGTCCAGTGGCCAGATATGGATCAGGATGTCTGGAGATGGCCCTGGATGCATTGGGAGACCTTGACTTTTTTAAGCTAAGGTCTTTAACAGGTCTCAGTTAATGAGGCAGTGCACATTCAGTGATGAAGGCTAGGTAAGAAATGAGGTAGAGAGTGGTCTCTTTTACCTAGTCAAAAAAAAATCAATCTGGGAGAGGAAGACCTTCAGAGTTTCTAGCCAAAACTGAAACAATTGCTATTTACATTCACTCTGAGCCATGAGGGCCCAAACAATGACTCAGACTTGACTTTTATTATTTTATTTTATTTTATTATTTTACTATTGTTCTGCAGCAATGTGGAGAATCCTACAAAGGGTTCTTCTGAGTTGTGAGTTCAAATCCTTGATGGGCTAAAATGACAACTAAACTGTAGCTTTAGCACGATGTCATTTTAATTTGCAGCCAGGGAGCTATGTCCCAATGAGGCACAAGCATTTGTAAATTATTTATTTGCAGCAGAAAAGGCTTTTCCAGGATTGATCATCACAAATTTCACAAACTTATCGAATCAAATCAGAATTCTTCCTGTTTTATCATGAAGGAGATGTGTATCTGCAACTACACTTTCTGACCCATAGCTTTGCTATCAGTAGAATGTAAGCTCCCTGAGGGTAAGGACTACCTTTTAAAAAAAAAATTCCCAGCACAGAATAGATATTTAATAAGTGCTTGTTGAATTGAATGAAATCGAAGAGTTCAGACCCAGGGAGCTGAGCCATTACTTCATTTTCCCTGGAGTGATTTTCATCATTCATCATCTACTTCTTGTGGAAGTATTATAATTATAATAACAATTAGTAGTAGTAGTAGTAGTATCTCTCTTGTTATTATTCAGTTGTTTCAGTCTTGTCTGACTCTTCATGACCCCATTTAGAGTTTTCTTGGCAAAGATACTGGAGGGGTTTGCCATTTCCTTCTCTGGCTCATTTTACAGATGAGGAAACTGAGGCAAACAGGGTGAAGTGAATTGCCCAGGGTCACACAACTAATAAGTGTCTGGGGCTGGATTTGAACTGAGGAAGATGAGTGTACTACTAGTAGTTTTGCCACTAGTGGTAATAGTACTAGTACTATAGTAGTAGTAGTAGTAGTATAGTAGTAGTAGTAGTAGTAGTAGTAGTAGTAGTAGTAGTAGTAGCATTAACAATAGTGGTAGCATTATTGGTAAGATGAGTGGTAGTATTCATAATAATAGTAGTAATACTAGTAATAGCAAGATTCATAGTATTGTTATGAGTGATGGTAGTTTTAGTGGTAATAGTATTATTGGTAGTACTATTACTAGTAGTAGGTTAGTATTAGTACTAGTACTATTAGTAGCAGCGATTGTACTAATGCTAATAGTATCCATGCCATTATTTTGGTAATAGTCTTGGTAAAAGTAGTAGTAGTAAAGTAGTAGTAGTAGTAGTAGTAGTAGTAGTAGTAGTAGTAGTAGTAGTAGTAGTAGTAGTAGTAAACATTGGTTCTACTATTACAAATAATAGTATTATTTGTCAATAAAAATAGAATTAGACGTAGTAGGAGTAGCAGCAACAGAAGCAGATAAAATTTTATAGCCTTTAAGGTTTATATAGATCATTCGATCCTCACAACAACTCATTTAGGTAAGCACTATTATTTCCATTTTATAGAAGAGGAAACTGAGAGGTTAAATGAAGAGAAACTGAGAGACTGAAAGGTAAAAGTGACTTGCCCAGAGTGACACAGAGAAGTGTCAGAAGCAGGATTTGAACTCAGATCTTCCAGGTCCAGTGCTCTATTTACAGTGCCATTTATAGAGACTATATCAAATCTATCTCTGTTTGAGTTTGATACCACTGAGCTAGTGGCCCTGTTCCCAGCCATTGTTCTTGGAAGGACAGTGTAATTCACTGGGCTCGGTTTCCATGACAGGCCTGAGCCTCTGATAACCTTCCTTCCATGTAATAGGATTATGATATTGGCCTGTCTACACAGCAACAGGGATGGAAGGAGGAATTAATTTAAAATATTACAAGACCCTTTAAAAATAGTGTGGATTATTTACATGCTTGAGAATGATCATCTCACAGATTCACATAACTTTAGAGTTAGGAGGGACCCCCACGTTCATCTCAGTCCAGTTATACGTAAAAGAAATCCCTACTTTTACATACCCAGAAAGTCTCTCTGCTTAAACACCTCTAAGGAGGTCACCTTCTAAGGCAGCCCATTCCCCTTATGGATGGCTCCAATCCTTGGCATGTTTTTCCTGACATCAGTCCTCAATTATCTCCTTTGCTGCTCCTACACTTTGCTCCTGGTTCTGGCCTCTGGGGTCAAACAGAACAAATCTAATTCATCTTTCATGTGACAGGCCACAATTTCTGATTTTAAGGGTCATCGTCCTTTCATTTTAAAATGACTTATTCAAGGGGCAGCTAGGTGGTGCAGTGGATAGAGCACCGGCCCTGAAGTCAGGAGGACCTGAGTTCAAATCCAGCCTCAGACCAAACACCTGACACTTACTAGCTGTGTGACCTTGGGCAAGTCACTTAACCTTAATTGCCTAAAAAACCAAAAAAATAAATAAAATGACTTCTTCAGGTCTAACATTGAAGAGCCACTGCCCACATGAGCTGAAATACTGTGCTACTGCCTTTTCTGCTAATGAGTCCTTCTTCTCTGCCCCAAGGTGCATGGTTTGGACTGGGTTTAGTCCTGAGGGAACCTCTCTGTCAGACTTCTTTTTCTCACATTTTTGACTTCATTAAGCCACCATTGCATTGACCTGGGGGGAAAATTTACTTTGGCTCAGATACAGTATTTCCCTCAAAAAAGAAGTATCGAAAGGTATTCAGTGTACAGTATGAATCAGATATGGGATGGATATTTTATTCCTCCACATGAAAGAGATGCTAAACATTAAAGGTGCACCATGTACGTTAACAGAATAACTTACAACAAGATTCATTAACTTAATTTATAAATACTCATAATCTGCTGGGAGGCTGATAGTTAATGAGAAAATAAAGGGGTTTTTAGATTGTTAATCAGGCATTTTATATTTTATGTTGGCCCTGCACTATCCAAACAATTCCCACTGCATGTGTGCTGATAGAATGGTCAGGCTTGGGCAAATCCTCTTTTCGTGACTGGCCTCTCCAAGAACTTTGGAGTAGTTACTGAAGCCTCCTCCCCTATTGCCAGTCAGCTCTGACCCAACAGAACACAGGAACTCTAGCCTTCTCAAGCTCACAAGGCTGTCTTCAAGCCTGGACACCTCCATCTCAGGACAGACACTTGTCTGCCTTAGGTTAGGAGAGAGCAGATCCCAAAGAGGCAGTCCAAACCCAGGCTCGAGCTTGCCAAAGCAAGGCATGTGCTTGGGGTGCCATGTGCCCATGGCCACTTGGAGGCCAAGGTGGTGGAGGAATTGAGCAACATGTCCATTCTCCCCAGCTCCCTCTTGGTTAGAAGCTGAAAGCAGTGTTGACACAGATCATAGCCAGAGAGCAAGAGAGGAGCTGAAGGTGGGGTCACTCCTTTTATAATACCTACCGAGTCACCAATTTTTCCAGCTCTGCTTCCTGTGAGGACATCCTCTGTCATCTCAAAGTGCAAACATTTTAGCCTGAGTCGCACATGGCCCGTAGCACGCCCACAAACTCCCATATAATTGACTGGAACTAAAGATGGCATCTCTGAGCGTGTACCACAGGATGGCCAATTCAACCTCCACTACACTTGGAATGATTGTTTTCTTCATTTTCCAGACACTTGGTGTTTGTTTTTATGCTAGCCAATTCCAGAATATTTGTGTTATGTTAATAACAAAATGCACTGAGGCTTAAAAAGCTATTTTAGTATACTATGTGATATAATTAATTTACTGGAAACTACTTTTCCCTTCTGTGACGAGTGAAATAAAAAGGGGAAAAAATAAAATTAACATTCTTAGGAAATCCATACTTCTATTTCAGGGCTCTGGAACTAATGAGAGTGCATTGATTGAAATTCTAACTACCAGAAGCAGTCAACAACTGAAGGAGATCTCCCAGGCCTATTATACAGGTAGTGGCTCTTTCCATTGCATGGGACTTTAGGCATAACTGGTTAGGTACATGTTGGAGAAGAAGCTGCATGTGGGAAAGAGAATTGGATTTAGAATAATGGGACAGAGAAAGTGTGAATATTATTTGAGCCAGAAACCATTACATAAGGTTAGTAGGAGGAGGAATAAGAATAAGAATTTATATAGCACATAATATGGGCTATAATCTCACAACAACCCTGTGAAGTAGGTACTATTATGACCACCATTTTACAGCTGAGGAAACTGAGGCAGGCAGAGATTAAGTGACTTGCCCAGGATCACACAGCTGGTAAGTGTCTGAGGCCAGATTTGAACTCAGGTCTTCCTTATTCCAAGCTCAGTGCCACCAGCTGCCATGATTTATGTGTTAGAACCTATGGACAGAGTAGTTTCTACCCTACAGAAACATTGTTTAATTGAACCAGCTATCAGGACTAGCATGAGAAAAAATTATATATTACTGTATAAGACCAGAGCTAAAAGGGCCCTAAGCAGTATATTAATATGTCATCAGAAAGGAGGTGGAAACAGTACAGCAAGGCCTATAAAAGGCCAAACATTAAAACAAATCCATGAGTCCAAATCCTATTGGGGAAATTCAGGAAAAAGTCACAGTGAGTCATTTTTCTAGCCCAAGTTGGCACAGGAAGACAAAGAGATCTACAGACACTGGGGATGGGTTCTGGCCAAGAATGCCCCGGAGAGCATTCCAATTCAGGGAGAGTCTGTGCACTTGGGCAAGCAGAAGTCCCAGACCCATATCTGGGCACCCCCAGATCCATCCGAGGGGCACCTAAACAGAGACAGGGACAGGTAGCTTTGTTGCCCACTACCCATAAAGAAGTTGAGAAAATTTGGAATAAGATATTCATGAGGCAAAGGATATAGACTTATAGCCAGGGAGAAATTACCCAGCAAAACGCAAGGGGGGAAATGGATTTTTAATGAAATCTAGGACTTCCAAGCATTCCTGATGAAATGACCAGAGCTGAGCAGAAATTTTGAATTACAAACACTAGAGTAAAGAAGAATATAAAAAGGCAAATAGAAATGGTCTATTAGAAGACATATGGATGAAGTGTTTGCATTCTAATGGGAAGGGGTGGTTAAAATGTGTCTTCTGGGCTGTCAGCAAGAGTCACAGAGGGAATGAAATAAGATGATGGAGCCAGAAGTGGTTTGTTATGGGTTTTTTTTGTCTTGTTTTTTTTGCTTTTTGGTGAGGCAGTCAGGGTTAAGTGACTTGCCCAAGGTCACACAGCTAGTAAGTGTTAAGTGTCTGAGTCTGGATTTGAACTCAGGTCCTTCTGACTTCAAGACCAGAGCTCTATTCACTTCGCCACCTAGCTGCCCCTGGTTTTTGTTATGTTTTGATGATCTTAAAAGAAGAAGGGAAAGTAAAGGGAGGGAAAGGGAGGAAATGGTGGGGAGAGAACTTATCTCACATACTGGGAGGGGACAAGTTCAAGTCTCTACAAATGAGGAAGGGGTAGGGAAATGGGCATCCGTTCAACTTCACTTAGAACTAATATAGAATGAAGTAAGCAGAACCAGGAGAATAATTTAGAGTACCATGTTGTAAAATTAACAATTTTGAAAAAAGCAAAGATCAACCTCGATTCCAAAGCAGCAATCATTTAGAAGGCTGCCCACCTCCGGAGAGAGGTGACAGCCTCAATATGCAGAGGGAGATGTGCAGTTTGGGACGTGGCCAGTGTGGGAACGTTTTCCTTGACTATATGTGTTTGTTGCAGAGGCCATCTTTTCCGTGTGTGTGTTGTGTGTGTGTGTGTGTGTGTGTTAGGAGGGTAGGGAGAGGGTGCAGATGCTTGATTGTAAAAAAAAATTAGTAAAATAATAAAGTCTCAGGGAGGGAGAAGGAATGTTTGGAGGAGAGGGAATACCAAATTTCTTTCTTTTTAAAAATTCTTTTAATTCTTTCTTTTTGATTCACTATTTAAAAAAAATTTTTAAAAATGTATTCGATTATGAAAAAACAAACAAAAAAGAAATACAGTTAAGATCCTAATACACGTCTCAGGCAGAATAAGGTCAAACAGTTACCTAAATAGCCTACTTTTTTTTGCTTCCATTAGTTCTTCAAATTACTGTGAAGGTTTTCTGTTTGTTATGGTGTTTTTTCAGTTCACAACAGCTTAATTTTATTATTGTTTGGTTTTAGCATATAAGAAGAGTCTCGGTGATGACATTAGTTCGGAGACATCTGGAGACTTCAGGAAAGCACTGTTAACTTTGAAAGATGTAAGTTTCTTGCTGCTTGAATATCAGTTAACAAATGTTTATTAAGAGTCAGTTAGGGGTTCATGAGTTAATGAATTCAAATCCAGCCTCAAACACTTACTAGCTGTGTGACCCTGGGCAAGTCACTTAACTCTGATTGCCTCCAAAAACCCCCCCAAAAAACCTCAACTTTGTGCCAAGTTCAGTGTTAAACACTGGAGATACAAATACAATGAATGAAACAGTCCCTTCTCTCGAGCACCTTACGTTCTAACAGGGGAGACATACATATATAAGTATATGCAGAGTAAAGATGAGCAGAATAAATAGAAGGTAGTTAGACACAAGAAGGCAAGCCTAGAGTCAAGAAGACTCCTCTTCCTGAGTTGAAATCTGGCCTCAGGCACTTAGTAGCTGTGTGACCTTGGGCAAGTCACTTAACCCTGTTTGCCTCAGTTTCCTCATCTGTAAAATGAGCTGGAGAAGGAAGTGGCAAGCCGCTCCAGTATCTTTGCTAAGAAAACCCCAACTGAGGGCAGCTAGGTGGCACAGTGGATAGAGCACCAGCCCTGGAGTCAGGGGGACCTGAGTTCAAATATAGCCTCAGAGACTTACTAGCTGTATGACCCTGGTCAAGTCTTTAACCCTGATTGCCTCCAAAAAAAAAGAAAACTACACAGAGTCATGAAGAGTTGGATGTGACTGGAATGAAAAAAGACACAAAGTTATTGGGGAGGGAGGTCACTCAGTGTGGGGGCGGGAGGCAGTGTGGCATCAGGAAAGCCTGCTCATAGAAGGTGGCACCTAAGTGGCATGCTGAGGGAAGGGAAGGATTCATTTTATGAGGGCAGAGCAAGAAGGAATGCCCTCCAGGCGTGGGGGACAGCCCAATTTTCTGACCTGTCCTCCACTAAAGTTCTGTGTGGATGCCTCATGGCGATATGGTGGTGGCCCAGTGTCTTAAGTCCCAAGAGCCTAGGCTCTGGGCTCCTCCCAACCTGAAAAGTCTTGAAATCTAGACCTGGTCAAAGACAGTATGCCTTTCATCAGTGACTAGGCTGGATCACTTCAGAGAGGCTGATCAAACTGGCTGGTCACCAAGTATAGATTTTTTTAACCCCCCAGCAATTCTTGAGGGTCATCTACTAAGGCAGAAAAGGGTTTGAGGATGCTTGAAAATATATATTTATATGTACATACGTGTAAAGTATACTTATAGTGATAAGAGCATCCTAAGGTTTACAAAGGGCTTTCCTCTGTGAGACAGGTAGTTCAGATATTATTATTCCATTTTGCAGATGAGAAAATAAAGGTTGAGAGTGATTCAGTCATCCAGCCAGAGTCACAGAATCAAAGATCTAGGGCTTGAAGGGGAACTCCACATATGTCTAGTCCAACTCCTTTACTTTACAGACATGGAAATTGATGCCCAAGGAGGTCACATGATTTGCCTAAGGTCACCTAGGTGATACAAGTCAGAATTCAAACTCAGGTCCTCAGACCCTGAATTCAATAGAGCCAGAGGTTCTAAACCTAGGTTCCATGACTGCAGTCCAAGGCACTGTCTGCCAGACCAGACTGCCTTACAGCAATTCAAACATTTGTTTAGCTATAATAACTTTCACATCAGTTGCCTCCTTCAGCCAATCTAAAAATCTACTAATACTCGTACAATCCATGCCCTCCGATAAACAATTCCTTTGACAGCCCTGATGGTGGGACCTTGAGGCCATGATTGAGGTATTAGCACCACCTGGTGGCCACCTACCCTAATTTGGGGTTCTGTTCCTTTGTGGAACTGAAAGGATGAGGATCCCTGTATCTAGAGCTGAAAAGAATTAATGGCAAATGCATGTGCAAACATATATATCCTATGAGTATTTCTTGTTTAGATGCTTGACTTGACGTTTTATTTCAAATAAAACATTCTTATTCCAAAGTTGTTTGCATATTTTCTCCTCTATTAGGCTGGGAGCTTGTTGAGGGCAGGGACTATCTTTTGTCTTTCTTTGTAACCCCGGCACTTAGCACAGGGCCATGCACGTAGTAGGCATTCAAAAATGTTTGTTAAAAGGAATTAAAAATATTTATAGTCTTTGGTTTGCTCAAGACCTGAGTTCAAATATGCCCTCAGACATTCACGAACTGTGTGACCTTGGGAAATTGTTTGCCTCAGTTTCCTCAACTGTAAAATGACTACAATAATAGCTTCTATGTCCCAGAGTCATTGTGAGGATTAAATGAGACAATAGTTATAAAGCACTTAGCTCAGTGCCTCTTGAAGAGTAGGCACAAAAGAAATATTAGCTATTGTTGTTATCTTTAATCATGGTAAAGTCACCAGAACATTGAGACTTTTCTTGAAGAATCACATGCAGCAAACCAGAGGCCTACTATGCATATCATACCTCCAGCTTTCTGCCCCATTTGACCCCTTCATACACTCTTCAATTCTACACACACACACACACACACACACACACACACACACACACAAGAATGTGTGCCAAAATAGAAATTATCCAAAGTCAAACTAGCTTCAGTGTTAGAAGACTTAAGAGCAGGACAGAAGAGAAGCATCTAACATGTAAATAATCACAAATAAATCCCTGTTGTTGGAAACAGGAACAAAAGCACTAGAGAGATCCTCTGAGGTCTCTTGCTGGTTAGAAGCGAGTGTGTTTGTAACCACATGTTCTATGTAATAGTTGTATCATGGATAGAGATGTCCTAGGGTTTTCTCTATTTTAATAAGTGTCTCTTCTCCCTTTGTTCTTGTTATAGGGCAGAAGAGATGAAGGTCTGAAAGTGGATGAAAATCTTGCCAAAAAGGATGCCCAGGTTAGAAACAGTCACAGAAAGGAGAAATGCCACAGATACTGATTCTTCCCTTCAGTCACTTAACATCCTTTCTGTTTCTGTCTTTGTGGGAATAAAGGGGAGGCACTTTCACTGGTTACTGCTGGATTTAGTTTCTCTTCCTCTAAGGGAAAGCACCTTGGGGAATACAATGTGTCCAGCTTAAGCTTCCTACTGTCCCTCCTGGCTCCCCTCACTTGTGCTGGCTTGTAATGCATTGTCTCACAGATCCCGGTGTGCAAAAGTCCTAACTCCAAGTGATTACAAATTGTGGCTAGTAAAAGAAAAATGAAAATTGTTGGTCTGGAATTGGAAAAAACTTAAGTAGTTAAGCTGAGCAACCCTTTATGATTGTGATGAAATACTAACTACTATGCTATAAGAAGTGATGAGCTCAATGATGTTAGAAAGGCATGGAAAGACTTATGCAAAATAACGAAGAGCAAAATGAGCAGAACCAAGAGAACATTGTATATAGTAACAGCAATATTGTTTTAAGAATGAGTGAATAAGTCATTTTGACTATTATGAATACCCAAATTAACTATAAAGGACATATGAAGAAAGATGCTATCTGCATCCAGATAAAGAACTTATAAATAGAAGAATGTATGGAATAACTTTACACATATATACCTATCTGTGTCTAATGATACCCATCTCTAGGGTAGGGGGGCAGAAAGAAAAAGAAGAAATTTACATGACAACTTTATTACATATTTAAAAGGAATAGCAAGTTGTATGTAATATATTTGCAGTTTCACGTGCAGTCATCCTTTTTTATTATACTATGTTAGGGAAATGCTTGTTTTATTCCATAAATTAAATAAATAAATAAACACCTACCCTTTTTCCAATCCCCATATCCTTTAGAAACAAACGATTTAAAAAAAAAACAGCAACACATTTTGGCATATGCATTGTAGCACTGAAGTGATTCTCTTCCTCTTGGCAATAGATTCTTTATGAAGCTGGTGAAAAGAGGTGGGGCACCGATGAAGACAAATTCACCGAGATTCTGTGTTTACGGAGCTTTCCTCAACTGAGACTAAGTATGAAATCGGTTCATGTTAGCACATATTTGAATGTTTTTACCTAAGTGGGTCTTGCTTTTGACATATAGAGTACTGATGAGTGAAGGTAAATAAGCAGAGCCAAGGTCTCTTGTATTTTTACTCACTTCTTTTTTTGGGAAACAAGATAGGAAATTGGAGCCATAACCCAAGACAAGAGGACCCCATTTGTATGAAAGATTGGCAGGTTATAGTTTAAGTCAGAGGTTTCCAAACTTATTTGGCCTAGTACCCCCTTAAAAAATAAATTACTCAGCACTGCCCTGGAAATCTACTTTCTTTAACCCTTTAATTTTTAAAAAAATTCCCATCATTTCAAAAAATATGAAATATTTTTAAAATGATGCATCTTAAATTTAATAATTTATTGTAAATTTGTGGGGTTTTTTCTTGCATTGAAATTTTGATAACACAGTATTGCATCATGTAACCGTATAATATCATATTGTAAACAAGTCATTACATGCACATATTCCTGCTGATGTGTGCTGGACTTCCCGACATTTCACCATATGCTTGCCTGCCAACACCTGCTTGTTAAGACCTGTTGGCGGACTTGACCACTGATTGGTTATAACTTTCATTTTGTGTGTTTGTTTGGAAAATAATATAATCGCTTCGACTTTAACTCTGTTATACAACAGATTAAACACATACAAGCATTTTTTCAAAATTTTCTTCTTACCTTATGCTTCCACTACCCACTTATTTTTATTCAACGCTCCCCTCCCGATTGCACCCAAGGTTACTACCATCCCTCTGGATAGTTCCAGCACCCACCAGGGGGCAGTATTGCCCATTTTGGGAACCTCTGGTTTAAGTGATGGCTACAATTAGTTATAGGAGAAGCTGGAGGAAGAAGGCAGCCCTTCTAATGTGGCCTTTTTGGATACAGAGGTGGAAAGGGCTCAAATATAATAGGCAAAGGATTCCCCCAGAGCCAACCCATCCTTGTTTTTAACTACATCCTGGGAGTCAGAAGTTGTTGATAGATTTTAATGATGTCATAATATAGCTCTAAAATATGTCAACATTTAATCCTTTCTGGTAAGTACAAGGTGAAGATAGGGACATGACTAAATAGTAATTAATCTGAAAAAAGGCTCTCAGTTTTAACAGACTGAAGGTTCAGCTGTGTGTTGGAGGTATTTCTACACCCAACTCTGTGTGTACCTGTGTTCTCCACTTTTTTTGACCGGTTTACGTGAAAGTGAAGTTCAAGTGATACTCGCTTCCTTCCATCTTGTTTGTATAGTCTTCTATTTTCCTCACCTTGAATATGTGAGATAGTCATTTCTTTCTTCCCGGGTAGATTCTTTTCCTCCTTCCTTTCCTTTCTTCTATTATGATCATCGGAGTACAACAAAACCACTCTCAGGCCCTTTGCCTTATTAAACACTATGACCCCTGATAACACTACGATCCCAAGGGAAAACTGGTATCATTGTTCCTTTTAGAATGTAAACACTTCGTCCTTGTAGATTCCCTTTCAGTTGCTGGGTCATAGCTACCTGTTTATATTTCTCTTGACTACTATGTTTGTGTTGCAGTTTCTATTCAGCTTTGGCTTTTTCATCGGGAATGCTTGGAAGTCCTCTATTTTATGGAATGAAGGAAGACAGAAGAGAAAGAAGGAGGCAGAGAGAGAGGGAAAAAAGAAGGAAAGAAACAAGAATTTATTAAGCACTTACTGTGTGCCAGGCACTGTGCTAAGTGCTGGGGATCTAAATAGAAGCAAAAAGAAAGACAGTTCCTGCCCTCAAAGGGCTGACATTCTAATGTACACATGAAAGTGAACTGAAAAGCTGGGAGTGGGGAGAGAGTATTCAGCATGGGAGCATGGCTTTGAAGTCTAGAAAGTGAGGAACAGGGCTGAGTGAGGAATGGAGGTAAGCCATCTTGGGCCCCTCCACAAAATGGAGTCTCCAGAAAAAGTTCACCAATAAGAGTAGGGGGACAGGCTTTGTGGAGAGATATTCTAGGGTTTTCAGGTTGTAGGACTGGTAAGCTGTTCCATGACAAGGACACCCCAGGTGCTAAGGGAAATTCCAGGTTGAGCCAGCAGTAAAATAGGGCATGATTTTGAGGTCCAGAAAGTTAGGAAAAGGGCTAAGAGGGGAATGAAGTTTCATTTTTACCTTGTATGATTAGACTTAGTTTTTCTAGATAAGTTATTCTTAATTGGATGCCTATATCTTCTATCTCTTGAAATATAATATTCCATGCTCTTTGGTTTTTTTCTTTAGCATGCTCGTGTCTTCTTTGCTGCTTCCACACTTTGCTTCTGGGGCCAAACAGAACAAATCTAATGCATCCTTCATGTGACGGGCCACAATTTCTGATTTTAAGGGTCATGGTCCTTTTTCTGACATTAGTCCCGACATCAGTTCCAGACATCAGTAGCTGCTAAATCTCATGTGATCCTGACTGTGGTTCCTCAGTAATTATACCTTTTTTTCCCCTGATTGTTTGCAGTAGTTTTTCTTTGACCTGGAAGCTCTGGGTTTTGGCTATGATGTTACTGAATGTTTTCATTTGGGAGTTTCTTTCAGAGGATCTTTTGACTTTGCTTTAATATTTCTTGTTTTCTCATAGAGTCATTAACTTCTGTTTGCTCTATTTTAATTTTCAGGGACTCTGTTGCTTAGATAAGGTCTTATACCTCTTGCAACTAAGCTAACAGAAGATTATGATTTGAAAAAAGAATCTGGAAGTGGAATAGTTGTGGGTGGTGGCAAGATTAAGAGAATGACCATTTCATGTGTCGCTGAGTAGAATGGAAGAATAAATCAGGAAATTAAATAAGTTGAAGAACTGGGAAGTTAGATTATTTGCAGGGCTATCAATATGTAAGTTGAAATAGCCCAAGTATGAGGGCAAAAAGAAGATGAAAAGAGAGACTATGTCAGTGCTGAAGTTATTGAAAAAGGAAGAGGAATGTCCTGGGGGTTGATAGCTTAGAGATAGCAAGATCTAGTTTGGATGGCAAATTTGGATATTATGACGCTCAGATTGTCTAGTGAAGGTACTAGAGTCTGTAAGTGGCAACAGATCATATTTCCTTAGGAGGAAGAAGTATTCTCACTCTCCCACCCTGAGCAGTGAGTCAAGAGTTAGGAGAGAACATGTAACTAGTTCTGGAAAGAGTAGCAAAGGAAGTAGTGTCATTAGGGGGGAACCAGGTCTCAGCAAGGAACAGAAGATGACAGGAAGATTTAACCTTATAGAACAAACACACCAGAAGGCTCAGTAGAAGGGGCAGGTAGATCTGGAGTGAGACATTAGAAGGGTTGGGTTGAGGTGGGTAGGTTTGGGGGAGTAGACATGAAGATGAGGAAATGGTATTTATACAAAGACAGTTATAGATTCAGAATCAGTTGGAGGGAGTGAGTGTAAGAGAATAGGAGTGTATTAACCATTGAGAAATGTAATTATTAGCATTTTCTGTGCTCCACCCCCATTTTTTTTTACCACTTTGCTCCCATCATTATAGAAGTGGAAAGTCTCCACTCAAGACCACTGAATATTTTATATTTCATTGAATACCAATGAATACATTCCCTCTTTACCTCCAACTTATCAAGTTCTTTCTTCTTTAAAATGCTGCTCAGGCATTTGGAGTTTTTCCTGATCTCCATGACTGTGAGTACTCCCAAACTACCTTGTATTTAACTCCTCTGTGTGTGTATTTAAACACATCCGTATAGGGGTGTGTGTGTGTGTGTGTGTGTGTGTGTGTGTGTGTGTGTGTATATATATATGTGTGTGTGTGTGTAAATATATATATATATACATATATATACATGTGTGTGTATGTATATATGTATGTATATACCTATATGTATGTGTATATATACATATGTATGTATACATGTGTGTATACACGCATGCATATATATAAATATATTCACTTTCAATTTGTTTTGTGTGTATTTTATATGAACTTGTCGTCACCCCCCATTAGGCTGTAAGCTCTTTTTGAGTAGGGACTGGGTCGCTCCTCCTTTCTGTGTCCTAAGCGCCTAGCCTGGTGCTTGGCTCAGAAGAGATACTTAACAAATACTTGATAGATCGGTAGAATCTGTTGCCTATTGGTCAAGCTTCCCTTTACTTCAGTAAAGTGGTGTGTGGACAGCAGACAGAATTCTTTACTGGGACCATATTTAAAAGCCTTTCTATCTGGCAGGGCTGACCAGAGGTTATGTTTCCTTAACAGAGCCTTTAAAAACACATGGTCACTTCCAAGCCACTGAGATACTTCCAAGAAGGACTTTTGTGAAGACTTACACCTTATGAAATCCAGCCATGAGGGGAGGTCCCTATCTGGAGGGGTACAGGATTCTATTGTCAGCCCTTAATTTCTACCAATGAGTTCATGGTGGCAAACCTGCTCACAGGAGGTGTGGCTGTTGATAAAAATTAAGTTCTAGCCTAGGAATGCAGCTTATGCCTTGAGGGGACCACAAAGCGGTTTCCCATTGGGTAAGAATGAACAGGTTCCATTCTTTGAATACTCACCAGCAAAAATCACTCTGGCAGCAAGAAGGGGATAATGCATCAATTGCACTTTGATAAGGGACAGGGAGTATAGAGGCAGACGGCTTGGGAATGGCTCAGGGAATGGGCTGGGAGAGGAAGGGAAAGGGGCACATAAAGTCATGTAACTGCAGATGAGTTTAGAGCGTGGGCAGCATGGACCCAGAGCGCTTGAGGGGTATGGTTTGGGAGTCCCATTTTTATAGAGTTCTAGTTGGGAAGGATGGCCTGATTCTTATCTATCAATATCATTTCAAAGTTATCAGTGCCACCTTAGGGATTCCTTATTAGCATAACATTCTTCTGGTTTTACTGTTTATATCTGGTGCTTATCATGGGGCAGCTAGGTGAAATAGTAGAGCCTGACGTCAGGAAGACCTGAGTTCAAATCCAACCTCAGACACTTACTAACTATGTAGCCCTGGGCAAGTCACTTCACTTTGTTTGCCTCAGTTTCCTCATCTGTAAAACGAGCAAGAGAAGAAAATGGCAAACCACTCTGGTATCTTGGCCAAGAAAACCCCAAATGGGGTCACAAATGAGCCACAACAACAAAGCTGGTGCTTCTCTGCACTTTGCAGACAAAAGGCCATTTACTGGGGCCTAGCTGGCTTCTCTTAATGTAGTACACAGTCTCTGGATGTGGCCTTCATCAGTTTACAGCTGGTTTTGGCAAGTGGCTTCTATGTTCCCCCTCACACTCTTGGTTCCCAGTTCCTGTTTATTGCTACCTTACGTTGGCTACTAACATAATTACTTACTATACTAAGTGGTGGTTATAGGGAGCATAACGAGATACAACTTCAACGCATGTACTTGGGGAGCTAGTGTTTTCTCAGAAGTGCTTATCACAATGCCTGGCACATAGTAGATGCTCAATAAATGCTTAGTTCCTTCACTATTCCCCTTTGCTTGTGTGTAAATGATTAAGGGGAAAGTTTCCATTATGCCTGTTTGAGAGTATTTCTACTTAGCATGAGGACCTCTACCCAATTTTGAATGTCTCTACCGTAGAGCGAGGCAGCTGGTGTGCGGTAAATAGTGAGACCTGAATTCAGGAAGATTTGAATTCAGATCTAGTTTCAGACATTTATTAGCTGTGTGACCATGGGCAAGTCCCTTCACCTCAGTCTGCCTCAGTTTCCTCATCTGCAAAATGGGGATAATAATAGCACCTACCTCCCAGAGCTGTTGTAAGGATCAAATGAGGTATTTGTATAAACACTTATGACCTGGCACTCAGTGTTGTTTTGTTGCTCTTCGGTCCTTTCACTTGTGTCTGACTCTTCATGACCCCACTTGGGGTTGTCTTGGCAAAGATACTGTAGTGGTTTGCCATTTCCTTCTGCTCATTTTACAGATGAGGAAACTGAGGCAAACAGGGTTAAGTGACTTGCCCAAGGTCATACAGCTCTCTCTCTCTCTCTCTCTCTCTCTCTCTCTCTCTCTCTGTGTGTGTGTGTGTTTGTGTGTGTGTGTGTGTATCTGTCTGTCTCAGTGTCTGAAACCAGATTTGAACTCAGGAAGGTGAATCTTCCTGACTCCAGACCTGGCACTCTATCCACTATGTCACGTAGCTGGTTCATAGTAGGTACTATAGAAATGCTTTTTTCTCTTCCTCTCCCCCTATGTACACAATATTTTATGTTACTGTGACATACTTTAAAACAATACAAAGTCAAATGTACTCATTGTACTTTTCTTTAACCTTTCCAGCTAATCTTAGTAAATAGCTTGGGAAAGGGTTCTTGAAAGAATGTAGTTAGAATTTTGCCTCCTGATCTTTTCCACAAAGAAAATGTTGAATGCTTGTAGATGCTGGTGGCTTAGAAAGCAGTTTTGGCAATTGGTTGCTTATGAGCTTTGTCAGGTGCTGAGGATGCTCAATAACGGTAATGACTTCTAGTTTTCCAGCTAACTTTCGTGATGATTGGTCACTGTGTTCCTGCTTTTGCTTGTTTATTTATTAATTTGTTTCATTTATTTTTTAGCGTTTGGAGAATACAGAAACATTAGCCAAAAGGACATTGAGGACAGCATTAAGGGAGAGTTGTCAGGTCATTTTGAAGACTTGCTGTTGGCTATAGGTAAGCTCTTGGCATTTGCCTCGCTCCTTTGTACTTATTTTAAAATTATCTTTGGAAGTTGTTTAATTTGTCCTATCTCTCCCTTAAAAGCAGAGCTTCTTAACTTTGTTTGTGCCATGGTCCCCTTGGCAACCTGGAGAAGCTCATGGACATCATCTCTGAAAGATGTTTTTAAATGTGTAAGATAAAGTATATAGGATTACAAAGGAAACCAATTATATTGAAATGCAGTGATATGTTTGAAAGGAATACAAATTGTACATTGCAGATTTGCAGTTTCATATGCAATCATCTTTTTTATTGTACCATGTTGTGGAAATGCTTGTTTTATTCCATAAATTTAAAATAAAATAAATGCAGTTATCAAAATGCTTTTTAAAATAAATGCACAGACCTTAGTTTAAGAACCTTTGTTTTAGATTGTAAATGTCTTAAGATCTGGGAGTTTTTCTTCTATCTTTCCCTTCTGTGGCTCTGTAGGTAGGGAGGTCAGAAGGAGGGAAAGAAGGAAGGAAGGAAGGAAGGAAGGAAGGAAGGAAGGAAGGAAGGAAGGAAGGAAGGAAGGAAGGAAGGAAGGAAGGAAGGAAGGAAGGAAGAAACAGAGGAAAGAAGGGAAGAAGAAAAAGAAGGAAGGAAGGGGGAGGGAGGAAGGTGGGAAGAAACAGAGGAAAGAAGGGAAGAAGAAAAAGAAGGAAGGATGAAGGAAAGAAGGAAGGGGGAGGGAGGAAGGCAGGAAAAAACAGAGGAAAGAAGAAAGGGAGGGAGAGAGGAAGAAAAAAAGGAAGGGAGGGAGGAAAGAAGAGAAAAAGGAAGGAAGGAAAGGAAGAAGGAAAGGAGGAGAGAAGAATTTATTCAGTGCTTACTCTGTGTCAGTCACGGTGCTAGGCCAGTCTTTTCATTTGTGGATGAAGAAAGTGAGACCAAGAGGAATGAAGTAATCTCCCCAGGGTAAAGTCTGGATTTGAACCTGGTACCTCAGACTACAAATCCAGTCCTTCCATTGGGCTGCTATTTGTGATTTTTTTTTTCTTTGCATTTTCTTAACTCTTGCCACAGTTTAGCTATTTGTTTCTCAGCCTGTTGTTGCTAAGCAGTAAGATTAAAGGAACTAGAGTGAAATGCTGATGAATTCTGGGGTAAGAAATATTCTTAGGAATGTTTTAATTTTAAGGACAAAATGGAGAAGAAAGAACCAAGAATTCAAATGTAGATAGGGGAAGGGTGAGGTAACTATGAAATGTCATTGAGTAGCATGACTTACTGAGTCCCTCAAATTTATATTGAGCAAAACTTGCAAGGGTTTGCTAAAAAAAAATTAAGGCCACTAAAATTTGTGATGACTTGGGACCCTGGACTTGGAGCTGAGAAGAAACGTTAACTCATCATTGAGTCCAAGCCCTCATGTGACAGGTAAGGAAACTGAGGCCCTGAGTGATGATGAAACTTACCCCAAATCACATATTGCCTTGGATAAAGGAGACATTTTGCACACAAATCCTGGGTCTGAGATGTTTGTCATTTTGTTGAATAAAAGAAACAGACCTTGGAATTGCTGATTGAAAATTCAAGTAGCTTCACTCCATCAGTTTTTTGGAATCCAGAAAGTCACTTTTGAGATTGTCTAATCATGTGAGCTACATTCCCTGACTTAAGTCTAATGGAGACACTCCACTGATTAATTGTAACAAATGGAGAATTTCTGTGTTCTACACGACAAACTACTCCAAGGGGATAATATAGCCATCTAACCACAAAGGAAAAGAAATATGCCTTTTAAAAAACAAGAACAAACCATAGCAAATAAAGACTAGAAGGTTATCTGGATGATATTTCATGTCACGGCAGAACTGTTTCTATGGTAGACACTACTTTATGCTCTCTTAGTTAAGATTCATGGAGCACTGGGTCTGTGTACGCTAAGTACTATCTGGAAGGGCTAGAGAAGACACATGTATTTTAAGTAAGAGTGGGTTAAGTTTCAGGAGATCTGGGTTTGAATCCTGCTTCATCCCTTCCTATATGTATGACTTGGGGTAAGTTCCTTCATCACTCAGGGCCTCAGTTTCCTTATTTGTCATGTGAAGTGGTTGATGATGATCCAAGGACCTATGTCATCACAGATTTTAGTGGGCTTAATTTTTGAACAACCTCTTGCAAGTTTGCTCAAGATAAGTTTGAGGGACCCAGTAAATCATACTACTCTGTGACATTTCAGTTATCTCACCCTTCCCCATCCACATTTGAATTCTTAGTTCTTTTCTCCTTATCTTTTCCTTACATTTCTTGTAAAAAATCAAAGTAAGTCTGACTTTTCTCCCAGAATATTTACTTTCTTCATGTAATTATTGGAGAATTATAGTTCCTGATCCTGAACTGCTCCTCTGAATTCATTAACTACAAAATCTATTCACTGCTCAGCAGATCAGATTTTTAATATTTCAAGAGTAAAAATGTCTTGTAATAAATAATGGATTTATTTCTAGCAGAATTTGATGTTACTTATGATTTCATTGTTATTCAGGGGGAATTCATTTCTTCCTATTTTTGCCATTTTATTTTTCATGTTGTCTCTACTGCATATCAAATGAAGAGATGGAGACTATGGTATTTTTCAGATGACTAGTTCGAGGGCTAATGTAATTACTGTATCCTCTTTATAAATACAAATTGTGTCATTGAAAAGCTTGGTTTTAAATTGAACTGCTGGGTCATATCTTGCCTAGTGAAATATTTGGATGAACACTTTCCTAGCTTTTTGTCCCAAGAAGACTACTTTGATGAAAACTATGACATCTTTTGGAGTGTAATCAAGGCAAACCCAGGTGACTATGCCTTGGAATAATAAGAAACAGTGAGTCATATAGTCCATCCCTTTCATAATAAATGACCCAAGGAAGTTGGAGTGACTTTGGTAAAAGCTCTCATGGTCTTGGTGGCCAATTAGTATCCTGAGGGTCCACATAAATTAGTCTGTGTACACCCTGGAGTAGCTTCAAGCATAGACCTTTCCTATTTGTATACATGTTGGCTCCTAAAAGTCTTGGGAAAGCATTTCCATAGATTAAACTTGTTTACAAATTCAATTTTATTTTGCTTTTTTAAAACAGTTAATTGTGTGAAGAACACGCCTGCCTTTTTAGCTGAAAATCTACATAAGGCTTTGAAGGTTGGTCTCTAATTTAATCCTATGTGTAACTTCTTGAAAAGGGGAGAGAAGAGAAAGAGGGAAAGATACTAATACAAATTCTATTGATGGGATTTTACATTTATTTCATATTTGAATTAAGTTGCCTTTTCCATAGTTAATTTGTATAGCGTCTGTTGCTAGGTAGAAATGGGAGGGGGAGTCATTATACCCAATTCCAATGTATGTGTGTATGTATGTTTGTGTGTGTGTGTGTGTATCTATATATACACACACATATATATGTGTTTGCATCCATTAATATTAAAGTAAAAATTAAAGTCCTAAGTAATGATACACCTCAACTATAGTAAGAATGAAACATTTATTTTCCTTTAATTTGCCCTCTGTCTTACTTTGCCCATTATGCTCTACTGCTTCTTGCTCAGCAAAATGTAATAATAAATGTGAGCTCTGCCAGAAACATCATAGGAGCCTGAGTTGGAAGGGGTCTCAGGGGTCCATCTAGTCAGACCCACTCAATTTATAGAAGAGGAAACTGAGTCCCAGGGAGCTGAAAGTGACTAGGTAAGAAGGTCACCCAGGCCATTTTATTGATTACAATAAAAATACAATGAACATTTATTAAGAGCCTACTATGTGTTGAGCACTGTGCTAAGCACTGGGAATACAATTAAGGAAAAGAGAGTCAGTCCCTGCCCTCAAAGAGCTTACAGTCTAATGGAGACAACACACAAAAGAAAGCTAAAAAGTGAAGGTGGGGGAGGAGAGAAGATACAATGATGGTGGAGTGAAATCCAAAGAGTGCCACTGGTTGGAAATAAAGAATTGGCTGGTCTTCTGAGCCCTCTTTATATGGAGGCTTTGAGAGAATATTAGAGGAAGGATCTGAACCCAGGTTGTCTCACTCCAGTTAGTGCTTATTCCATGGAAATTAGGTATCCTGGTGATTCAGTATCTTAATAACAAATGTGTTATTTCTTCTCCAGGCAGATGAGTATACATGTTGGTCTTCTGTTTAGCAATATTCACATTATTGAAATCTATATTTGTTGACAGGGTGCTGGCACTGATGAATTGACTCTCATCCGAATAATGGTTTCCAGATCAGAAATTGACCTTTTGGACATCCGAGCAGAGTACAAGAAGCGTTATGGGTGCTCCCTCTATTCCGCCATTCAGGTGAGTCTTTGACAACATTTGAAAATATATGGATTTAAATTTTTTTTCAATATTTTCAATTCCAAATCTGCCCCTCCTTTAGAGAATCATTCCTGATAACAAAGAATAAAAAAGACGGGGGGGGAAGCAGTTCAACTAACCACCTGAGTCTGACAGTATATGCAGTATTCCTTATTCTTGCAAAGGAAGCAGGGAGGTGTTTTTCATTTTATTAATCATTAAAATTACTAAGTGTTTTATCTGGATTTTGTTGTTGTTATTTCCATTTATGTCATAGTAAGTCAAATTATTTTCCTGGTTCTTCACTAAGACTTTTTTTTAAATAAATTCTCCGTACCTGTTTTTTTACTGCTCTGAATCCTTCAGAGAAGAAGCTTAGGTTTTCTTCTCCATATTAATGTGTGAATTTGTGGTCTCTGGGCTTTCAATAATAAAGTTCCAGTTTCTGAACTGAACTCCACCTAAGGGAAATCTTTACTTAGTGGGAAGGGTCCCTGCTGAGCACAGGCAAACCAGTAGGAGCACAGAGTGATGTCAGGGTTCTGTGTAAAGGGGAGTTTCCAACCCGTGCTCTGGAGCTGATGCAGAGTTGGTCCACTCTCTTGCACTTTATAATATTGTACCGTATGCAGAATTAGACGACAGTATATGCACAGTCCTTCACAAACCTTAAAGAACTCAATGTCAGAACTATTATTACTATTATTGTTGTAATCAACTGTCATCATCATCATGCTGTGAGCCCTGCAGTATTCTTAGGGAACAATCAATCAAGAAACATTTATTAAGCACCTACTATGTGCCAGGCACTATGCTAAGCAAAGAAATATTAAATTAGATTGGCTCTCATGTAGTTACTAATTCAATTCAAATCAATTAAATTCAACAAATATTAATTAAGCTCATGTTATATACAAGTGGGCCTATAGGTAGCACAGTGGATAGAGCGCCAGACCTGCAGTCAAGAAGACTCATCTTCCTGAGTTCAAATCTGGCCTCAGACACTTACTAGCTGTGTGATCCTGGGCAAGTCACTCAACCCTGTTTGCCTCAGTTTCCTCATCTGTAAAATGAGCTGGAGAAGGAAATGGCAACTCACTCCAGTGTCTTTGCCAAGAAAACCCCCAATGGGGTCATAAAGATTTGGACAACACTGAAAAACAACTGAATGACATGTGTAAGTACCTACTATATGAGAGCTGTATCCTCAGCATAAAACGAAATTGAACTAGTCCTCCTCAGGGAGCTTACCTGGAGGATATAACATATACATAAACACAATGACAGTTTAGAAAGGAGAAAGTACTAATGGGGCATAGGTGTATGAGGAGCAGGATGCTAACAGGAAGGCTTCATGGAGAGGGTGCCACCTGAAATGAGCTTTGAAAGAAGCTAGTGATTTTGAGAGAAGAAAGTCAGGATGGAGTGATTCTAGGCATGGGGGAATAGCTTCGGCAAAAGTATGCATTTGAACCCAGGTCTCGGACTCCAAATCCAGCTTGCTTTTAACTTTATCTCAATACCTCCCTTATATATGTGTTCGTGTTGTTTCCCCAAGTAGAATACAAGTAACTTGAAGGCATTCTTTTTTTTTTGTCTTGGTATTCTTAGCATCTAGAACAATGCCCGACACATAGTAGGTGCTTAATAAATGCTAATTGACTAATTGGTTGATTCTAAATTTTGCCCATACTTAGAATGTTATCAACAATACATTAATTTTTTTCAGTATTAAGTGTTTTTCTAAGAATTAATGATGGCATTAAGTATGGGGGAAGAACACATTTATGTAATGTTCTATTTCCTCCTTAGAACCCTGATTCAAAAGGACCAGTGTTGGCTTTTTTAGTGAAATCTTTTATAAGGCACCGAAAAATTGCTTAGCTGCCTCTAATTCAAAAGAAACTTTGCCATGTAGAAAGGAAATAATAATAAAAGACAATGAGGGCCAACCTGGAATAGATAATGAATCTGCCCAAAGCAAACCTATGCACTATTGCTGGGAGTCATTCTAATCTAATTACACATGTTAATGATTTTATGGCATTTCTGCCCTTGCCCCATTTCTAGTGACTTTCTCCACCTGTCTCCTTTCCGTTGGAAGTATTACAATTCTACAACTTGTCAGGTAATAAGATTTTCACCCGTTGGCTTAACCTACAATAAAACAAAAATCACAGAGGACTTCTGAGCAAGCCAAACCAAGATGAGATATTTCTAGATAAAACCTTGCATTATAACAAATCCACTGCCATTTTGGAACCAGAATGTTTTGGGTTGATTTTAGAGAAAAGAGACTGGGAAATTTGCCCGTAAAAGATGCTGTGTGGAAGAGTTCATTCCCACTTCTCTCTCTAATTAAAAAAAATTAATAGCTTTTATTTTTCCATCACTGTCATTTCAAAAGGTGTTCCTCTCTGCTCCCCTATCATGCCTGGTAACAAAGAATAAAAAGAGAGGGGGGAAAAAAGCAAGTCATTAAAACTGACCAATATATCAGCCGAGTCCTTCCTCGTATTTTATTTTATTTTATTTTTGGAAATAAATTCTGTTTTTATTGCTTTACCGTAAATGGGTTACTAACCACTGTATCCTATCCAGTTGGCACACATTTCATAACCACATTTTATATGATCAAATGGTAAAGCCTCTTGTGAATTATTTAACAATTAAAGGAAGGTAGTGTGTATGTGCATGGGGAAAAAAACTACAATAATAATAGCTAGCATTTATGTAACTCTTTAAGGTTTACAAAATATCTCACGTATGTTACCTCATTTGATCCTGAGAAGGACCCTGTGAGATAGGGGCTGTTATCATTTTATCAAACTGTGTCTGAGAGAGGTTAAGTGATTTGCCTAGGATCACATAGCTAGAGAGAATTCAAACTCAGGTCTTCCTGACTGCAAGTCCAAGTATCACTTCAGGGCAATTCATAGGAGCTGCATGTACTCTGTTTAGTGAAAGAAGAGCTAGATCTCTTGGAATCTGAAACCAGGATACCTGATAACACCATTGAAGGGGGGTGGTAGCATTAACATTGTAACTGAGGGGTGGCCTGGGTGTCTAGAAGACCTAGGCTCAAATCCAACCTCAAATGCTCTGACCTTGGGCAGATCACTTAACCTTTCACTGCCCCAAGCAGTTACTTCTTCATTTGTGGATGGAAGGAGTCTTTATATTGGGAATTCCTAGTACTGATGAAATCACAAGCCTGGACAAAACCAAATTAAAAAAAAAATTTCTGACTTATCATTGCACAATGAGTATATTTCATTTTAAGGAATTAGAGCACTACTTCCTAGTAATGTATGGCAACAGCAGAAACCAATCTCACAGGAAAGGTTGCCCAACTGCTTTAAGCATTAGAAAAGGGAACTTTTTGTGATCTTCTTTTTTTCCTGAGCTAGTCTAACATTCTTTCCTTTTCATTAAAGAGATGAATATCCTATTTTTTTCAATTGAGAAAATTCAAATGCCTTGTTCATATTTTAAAGAGCATCAATTCTGTATTAAAACTAAGAATGACCAAAGAATTATAATAGTATGTTGATTGTCAGTTCGAGAAGGGACCAGTCCTTGTGTAGTACAGATGAGGAAGTAGATTCAGAGAAGTAAAATAACCTGTACCAAGCATATCGCTAGGAATGGGCGGAGCCAAGCTGTGACGAGAAGCCAGATCTCTAAGTATCATTCTCATCTCTTTCTTTCCCATTGGCCTATTTTGTCATCAGTTTTACAGAATTGTAGTGTTAACATTTTTTTTAGAAATATTGAATATATTATCTATGTAGCCCAAGAAGCTATTATACGTATGCAATATATGAACATATGAAGTAATTAACATCAATTATAATAATCTTTGGTTGTAAAATACTCATAGAGGGGGTTCAGAGGATAGAATTAAGCCTATAGTTTACTAAATTGGTCCCTGTTAATACATTTTCCAAAGAATCTCCCTTAGATAGAAGACTGTGATTGATGCCAGGGTCCTAATTATGAAATAGAAGGTAAGCTTCTTGAGGGCAGGAATTAATTTTATTTTTGTTTTCATATCCCCAATGCCTACTGCTGGCACGCAGGCATGCGCGCGCACACACACACACACACACACACTATCACCTAAGAAATCCTTTGTTGTTAAAACAACAACAAAGTCTTCCTTATACCATGAAAAACCATACCTTTTCCCAAAGATCTAGTATTTTCCTTTTTTTAAAAAATCCTCTTTTATTAATATGGCCTCCGTTTCACTCCCTATCTGACCCCACTTTGTCCTTGCAGTCAGATACTTCTGGGGACTATGGGACTGCCCTCCTGAAGATTTGTGGTGAAGATGACTGAGGAAAGTTAATCTCCAAGTGCCTCTCAACTTCATCTACTGAACTATGAACATATAACTGCTTTCTTGGAGCCAGCAAATACACAAGCCAATGGAAATAACAGCATGTTTTCTTAATTTTAATTTTCATTGTTTCATAATAAATAAAACCTCACTTGTGTGCACCTCACATGTCATGTAACTGTGTCTTTAAAATGCATTTTAAAATAAGAGTTGGATCAAATCATTCCAAAATGGGCATCTGCCTGGGAAGTAGGAATCAAATACAGTATTTGGAAAAGCATTTAGAAAAATTCAAGGCAATAAAAGCTTCCTTCTCACTAAAGATCATTCGTCTTAGTTCATCTTTTATCACAATTGTTGAGCGATTCCTGCTAGAAACAATTAAAAAAAAAAGCCTTGTGTTGTCAAATGATTAATGCTGGAAACAGTCTACTGAGCATGAAAAAAATGAAAGGCGATCTGATTCCTGTAAAGTGATGGTGGGTATATTGGAATGGTAGAAAAACATTTTAATTTGACCTTCGGTGAGCATTGTCTAAATTATGCAATTAATTGTTTCCATTAAGAACTGTGTTCATTCATTGTAGCTGTTTTATACCAACTAGTGTTTCCCCCAGGATGAGAGTTTAGAACTTTTCTTCATCCCTCTTTCTCCCTAGTGATTTGGCAAAAAAGAATTTATTTGGAAAAATCCCATATAAGGATTTGAGGTTCAGAGGTACATCCCTTTCAGTTCAGACAGAGATTTGAGTGACTTTGATCTAGGAGGTAGATTTGAGTTATGTCCAGTTTTCAAAAAGGGGGATAGATACAGTCTATGGGAGGAAAAGCTGAAAAGGAGGAGCTAGGATTACTAGCTGAATTCCACAGCGGCGGCAGCAGTGGTGGAATCCTCGATTGTCCCTCTTCCCCTCCCCATCCTTCAGCACTGGGACATATGAGAAGTCACCTCTGAGAGGGATGAGAGGGGCGTGTGTGTGTGTGTGTGTGTGTGTGTGTGTGTGTGTGTGTGTGTGTGTGATAAAGAGACAGAGCAGAGGAAGAAGAAGAGAGGGAGTGAGAGCACACTAAACTTTGCAGAGATGGAAGAGATTATAATGGACTACCTGGTGGTCCAGAAGTATCAGACAGCTGTAATCTCCCATTCAAAGATTGAGGGAAAGGCCTGATAATAGGCACTGTTATATACTCTATTCTGTTTTTTTATCTAGGATGTTTCCTTTATCCTGATTTTGTCTCATATAGACACCCATGGTCAGTCATAAAGGTTTTACATTGCATGTCTCTATACTTATTTTTTCTGCCCAGAAAAAAGGAATAGAGAAAGTCAGGAGTTAGCTAAAAATGAACAAAATTTAGATTAGGTCAGGGAGCTAAACCTTTGGGTAAATGTTAGGAAATTTTCCTAAGGGTCTGAACTGTTATAATTAAATTCCATAAAACCATGGAAAAGAGGGCCATGTATACCTGAGGGCCACCATATTATGCCTAAGCAAGAAGCAAGCTTAATGTTGCAACAGGGTTTGCATAATAAATCCCCAGTACCTTTGGTGACGGAGGGAGGCGGCAGGTAATCTGGTTTCCTGCTTCGTCCTTCCACCGACAATGCTGTCTCCAAAGTTACTAATGATCTCTTATTTCTAAACCCAATGACCTTTTCTTTTTTATTTCTTTCCTTTTATTTTTAGTTTGAAATGTTTATTTAAAATGTTTTTCACATTCACTTTTTTAGTTTGAGTTCCAAATTCTGTCCCTCCCTCATCCAATGGCCTTTTCTCAGTCCTCATTCTCCTAGATCTCTCTGTACTGTGGATCACCCTCTCCTCCCCGACATTCTCTCATCTCTAGGACACCATTCGCTCCACGTTCTTCCTTTACCTATCCTCCTCCAGATAGCCTTTCAACTGTAGATTTCCCTCAGGGTTTGATCCTAGGCCTTTTCTCTTCCCCACATATATTACTTCACCTTGTGATTTCATCAGCTCCCATGGGTTTAGTTCCCATCTCTATGCTGATGATTCTCAAAATCTACCTATCTTGCCCCAAGCCCCAAAATTGGTGCTGATCTCCAATTTCACTTCTCTAACTGCCTTTCAGATTATTTTAAACTGGATGTCCAGTAGACTTCTTAAACACGATATATCCAAAATAGAACTCATTATCTTTTCCCCTAAACCCTTCCTACCTCCTACCTTCCCTTTTACTGTAAAGGACAATATTATCCTCCCAGTCCCTCAGACTCACAACCTAGGAGTCATCCTAGACTCTGCACTGTCTCTCAACCCCATCACCCTCCCCATAGTCAATCTGTTGCCCAAGCCAGTAGATTTCACCTTTGCAACATCTCTCTTTTTTCAGATCTCTTTTTCTTTAAAAAAAATTTTTTTTAACATTCTTTAAAAATTCTCTCCCTCCTTCCAGCCCCTTTCTCACCCATTAAGGAAGAAAATATTGTGATAGCCATTACACAAGTGAATTATGCAAAACATTTCCATATCAACTACATCTCTTGAATATACCCCATTCTTTCCTCTGACATTGCCACCATTCTAATGCAGGCCATCATGTCTGTGCCTGGATTATTGCAACTGATTGTGGATGGGTTGGCCTAAAGTCTCTCCTCACTCCAATCCATCCCCTGACCAGCCACTAAAATCATTTTCCTAAAGCACAGATCTAACCACGTCACCCCTTTACTTAATAAAATCCAATGACTTCCTATTGCCTCTATGGTCAAATATAAAATGCTCCGTTTGGCATTCAAAACCCTTCACATCTTAACCCCTCCTAGCTTTCCAGTCTTCTTACACCGTACTCCCTGCCAAACACTCTTTAATTCAGTGATCCTGGCCTCCTGGCTGTTGCATGAACGAGACACTCCATCTCTCAACTCTGGGCATTCTCTTTGGCTTTCCTCTGTGTATGGGGTTTTCTTCCTTTTCCACTGTAATTGCTGACCTCCCTGGCTTCCTTTAAGTTCCAGCTAAAATCCTGTCTTTTTAATGGAAGACTTCCCTAATTCTTCCTTAATTCTAGTGCCCTCCCTCTGTTTATTATTTCTTATTTATCCTGTATCTAACTTGCTTTGTATATATTTGTTTGCATGTTGTCTCCCCATTTAGATTGTAAACTCCTTGAGGCCAGGGACTGCCTTTTGCCTTCTTTTTTATCTCTAGCAGCACATTGCCTGGTACATAGTAGATGAAAAATAAATGCCTATTGATTATTGAGGTAGGAAAGGACAGTGAACAAAGAAAAGATCATGCCCCAAACTGACCCCATGGGAAGAAATAGGTATGACCTTTAAATTCAATGCTGCTCCTTTCCAGAAAGAGGGGAAGAACAGGAAGGAGAGAATACAAACCAGTCAACTTTGCCATCCACAGTGACATCTGATAGTTACACATATTTGAACATGGCAATTATTTTTTCTTAACTTTGGTGGATTTGTGAGATATATGTGTGTTCTAATAATTGGTATACATCACAATCTACCCATGCCTTTTTATCTTGGGTAACTTTGTCTATATCCTTCCCAGAAATCTTCTGTGGAGAAGCTTCCTCTAGGTCTCATCTCCTGAAGTGAAATCTATGGGGCATTGCTCCCCACTTCTCTACCCCAGCCAGCCCAGAAGAACTCCTGGCTAGGGCTGCTCCCCTCCTCTCCCTATTCTCCAAACCATCCCACCGTTTGTAAGTCAACATCACAAAAGATTAAGCAGGCACCACTTTAAAGGAGCAGAGAGCTTAGAATATAATGGTTCAAAAGATGGGAGGTGGGGTGGGGAGAAGGAAAGGATTACAATCAATAATAACTTACTCAGAAAAACTGAGTATAATTCTATGGGGAGAAAATATGCCTTTAATGAGTTAGAGGACTTCCAAGCAGTCTGAATGAAAAGATAAGGCCAGAATAGAAACTGAAATACAAACAAAGGAGTCAAGGGAAACATAAAATAGGTAAATATGAATGAACTAATAGTCATTAGCTATTAAACAAAAATGAACTGTTTACATTCTAATATGGGGAGATGACTTATGTGTCTCTTCAGAAATTGATCATCATCAAGAGTCATAGATGGAGTCTAATTAGGCAGAAGGCCTGGGAGTTGGGAAGAAACGAAGAGAAAGGGTGGGGAAAAGTATCTCACATAATCTGAGTGCACAAGTAAGAGACTATATAAACCATGAGGAAGGGATAGAGGGGAGCAGGCAGCACTTGAACCTCACTTTTGAATTGGCTAAAGGAGGGAAGCATACATGCATACACACACACACACACACACACACACACACGCACACAATCACAGAATTGGGTGCAGAAATATATTTCACTCAACAGGGAAACAGGAGGGAAAGGAGAGAAGGCCAAAGGGGAAATGATAGGGAGAGCAGATTAAGAGAACGATTAGTCGTAAGTAAAACAAACTGTAACTATGAAGGGTGGATCATAAAGAGGAGTTTAAAAAGAAAGAAAGGATAAGAACTTGTCATTGAACTCTGGGTGAGGCAAAGAGAAGAAGGGCAAGGGAAGAGAAGCAGCTAAACACCATCTAAGGGCACACCCCTTTTCTCTTAATGCCCTCTTTTTTTTTTTATAAAGAAAAGGTATGAAACTGTAATCCACACAGTGACCTGCCAGATTCCAAAGAACTCAGGATGAAACATGCTACTCAACTCCTAACAGAGATGATGGACTCAGGATGTGGACTGAGATGTAATTTTTTGGACATGGCTAATACAAGGACTTTGTTTTGTTTTTCTTTCTTTTCTTGATTGGGAGAGGGGGAGAAATGCAAGAAAGAGATAAAGTGGATTCTCAGCAGTTAAAAAAAAGTAAAATTAAGTTTAAAAAAAGAGGGTGTAGATTGAATGCAGCTAAGATTAGAAAGGAAACCATTAACTGGGGGGGAAAATCTTCAAAGTAAGTTTCTCTGATTAAAGTCTCATTTCCAGGAAACATAAGGAATTGATTCAAATTTAAAAGAATGAGAGCCATTCCTCAACTGACAAATGGTCAAAAGATATTAACAGGAAGGTTTCAAAGGACAAAATCCAAGCTACAAATAGCCACGTGAAAAAAAATGCTTCAAATTGCTAATGATGAGAGAAATGCACATTAAAGCAACTCTGAGATTCTCCCTCATGACCATCAGACAGAAAAAGGAAAATGATGAGTGCTGACACATCCAAAGGAAAACAGGCATGTTAATGGATGAACTGTGAGTTTATTTTTTTCGTCAATATATTGTCAATAAGCATTTATTAAGCACCTATGTATCAAATGGAACAGTTGCATCATTACTCAAAACAAAGGCTTAT